TTTTAACCTAGAAACTGGGCATGATGGGTACTTCCTTTATTCTGAGCACCTTATGACATAGCTCTTTTTGAAAAATTGCCTTTAAAGATCTACATTCTTCTCCTTTCAGATTAGAACTTATTTTGAAATTACTTAGGCTTTAACCTCCCTTTAGAAATGATACTTCAGATGTGATTGTGGTAGAAGTGCAACTAAGAAAGATGACAATAATGGTAGGTTTTTTTCTTTTTGCTATTTTAAAAAGACAAAATATATACCAACAAAATTGTTTTTATTCATTTGTAACCAGTTATGCATAAGACATTTGGTAGCAGAAATTTTGAACATCAGTTTAGAGCATTTTTTTTGTAATACTATACCTTCATTGTTGTGGTACAATATGTTGTCACTTTGTGATCTCAGGTTCACCATTAGTCTGTTTTATTAATCTTTACTAAGTACATCTTCCTTTCAGTAAAACTGTAGATTACTTGCAATATGGATGGATGGAGAATCTAGCATTGGTGCTGTCCTTATTAAGCTTAGTCTAAGTGGCATTGCTAATAGCAGTAAGTACTTTGTCCTTTCTCTCCTTGGCTTTGTCATTCACCAGGCCCCTTTAATCATCTTGTACTGTTGACTTACCTAGTAATTAAAATGCAGTTTTGCAATTGAACTTTTAAATATGTCTATGTTTAATCTCTTCCACTAGATTGTAATATTGGGAAATATATCTGCTATTTTTCTCTAGTCACTTTATAACCCAGTAAAGTGCTCAGGGTGCCACTAATGAAGCACCTAAGAAATGCTGTTAAATAATTTTAGTTTTTAGCACCACCTACTCAGAACCTCCATCAATGTTTATTAAGTATCAGAGGAGAACATTGATTACAAAACAAGGCAAAAACTTCATCTTGATTGTTGTAAGCTAGTGCTTTTATGAAAAATTACCACTTATTTTCTTATTTTAAGTATCATTACATAAATTTTGTTGTTCTTTTAGCATTTGAAATACATACTGACACCTTCTAAAGCAGAAACATTGTTAGTCTCATTTTTTTTAAAAAGAAACTTGAACCTTGGCATGACAGACAAGAAGCCTAGTGAAGCTTGTTGAAAGACAGCTATTTCCTCTGGGCAACAGTCATTCAATACCTCTGCCCTCTATCTTTGGAGGGAAGAATACCTTGAATCTCAAATCTCTGACAGTCTCTGACATGTGGGCAGAAATGACTAAGTACTTTGTATGGGTGGAGGCAAGAAATATGGTTTACTCTTTGAAAAAGATTGAGTAAGATTCCTGGACAGTGCCTTTGTTCACTTGCAAATGTATTTGTGTGCCCAAAAGATTATCAATAACTTTTAAAATTTTAGTGTATATTAATTGTACAAAGGGGTTTTGTGATATTTCTATACATGCATGTAATGTACTTTGTTCATATTCAACCCCTCTATTATTTTCTTATCACCTCTGCTCCTTTTTAAAATTTTTTTTGAAGGAACTCGGGGCCTTGTAGCTGCCAGGTAGGTTTTCTACCACTTGAGCCATACTCTCAGCCCTTTTTTGCCGTAGATATTTTTCTAATAAGGTCTCTCATTTATTTCCAGGCTGGCCTGGACCATGGTTCTATTACACTTTCCACATGGCTGAGATGATAACTGCACACCACCACATCCAGCTTTTATTGGCTGAGATGGGTTCTTGCAAACTTTCCCTGGGATGACCTCAAATTGCAATCCTTCCCATCTCTGTCCCCTGAGTAGCTAGGATTGCAGGCATGAGCCATCCCGCCTGGCTTTTTTTTTTTTTTACATATTTTAATAGGTTCCATTAAACTATTTTCATACAAAGTACTTCAATTATACATCCCTATCACCCACTCCTCTCCCACTGGTTTCTTTCCTACAAACAGTCCTCCTTTTACATTTATGTCATTTTTTTAGGTCTGAATTCCCCATGAGAGAAAGCTTGATATTTGCTTTTCTGAGTCTGGCTTATTTCTCTTAATATGATGTTCTCCAGTTCCATCCATTTTCCTGCTAATGACATAAATTCATTCTTGTTTATGACTGAATAGAACTCCACTGTGTATATATAACATAGTTTCTTTGTCCATTCATCTGTTGATGGGCACCTGGGCTATTCTATGACTTCACTGTTATGAATAGTGCCACAGTAAACATGGACGTTCATGTGTCTTTATTGTAGGCTGACTTACATTCCTTCACATACAAAAATCAGATAAAAAGATTATCAATAGCCTTTTTGCTACAAAGTCATTTTTGTAAGAAATCTAAATTTTACTCCTTTATGAAACCCATTTCTATTTGTTCTGGCAATGTGTGTTTTTCAATCACATCTGTTCATTGTGTGCCTTTAAGTCCCATCAGGGAAAGTAGAAAATTAGCATCTTCAGATGTCCCTGTCAGGGTACATTGCAGAGAACATATGGTCTGCATATAAGAGAGTCAATAACTAATGAACTTACTATATGAAATTTTGACTTACGTATGTGTTCAAATTAGGAAACTATTTTTTACATGTCCTGAAGATTCAAAGCTGAACAAATTTTCATGTTTGACATGGCAGAATGTATTAACAATGTATGATTATAGCCCATTCTGTGCAGCTTTATGGAAATATCAACACTCTAGGAAGTATGTGGTCTTGTTAGGCAGTTTCAGAGCATGGGAGAAATGCTTGTGTTCCAAAGCTGATGGCTGAAGGGTAAAAATATTAGTGAAGATATACTCTCATGCTCAATGATATCATGCCAGTCCACCATCTTACTTCCACAAAGTATTCTTAACATAGCAAGCATTCAATAGGTGGGGAAGGCCTTCAAGAATCATTTAGTGTAAAGGTCTTCTGCCCTTTCATCACAAAAATATGATGATGATACTTTCCTAGGGACATGTATAATTCTTAACATATTAGCTATCTTAGCTCTTCATTCATTTAAAAAAATCTGTTGAAATGCAGGATTCCTGAAAGTACCACATTTAATGGAATATCTTCCATATCTACTCAGATTTGTGAATAACTAATAATTTATAAATTATTGACACATTTCATATTGAACCTCCCTACAATATTACAAAGGTTGTAAATCGCTAACTTAAATGAAACTCATTTATTTTTTCAATGATTTTCTTCAAAATTCAAAAGAAAATGTTATATTTAGAAATGAAAGTTTAATTTTATATGTCATGAAGAAATAACATTCTATTAGAAAAATTACCTTGTAGCAAATTTGGATTATAACTGTCTTTTAAGAAGGACATTCAGTGTTATGCCCTAAATAAATAGCTTTTAGGAAATCCAGTTTTTGTTGGAACAAATTGAGATATTTTCCCCTTGGGCTGTTTTTATGAGAAAGAGAATTATTTATCCACAATCACAAATAACCTTGGACGAAAGTATATCCTGTGTGCCTCTGTGCATGTAGGGGTAGAGCTAAGAGGTGTAACTACAGAGGGGGCATTACTGTTAGTCTCTTATTTTGCATTTTGATTCCCACTTTCAGGGCTGCTTTTTTGTAGGTGTTTTTTTTTTTTTTTTTACGTTTCTGCCCGTCATGATTTTTTAGTGTAACTTTATGAAGACATTGCTTTACTGATTGATCTCTGCTGCTCAAAAGTATTAAGCAGTGGTTTTAGATATTAACAAATTAACACAGATGTGTGAATTCAGGTTCCCATAAAAGAATCATAACTCAGAAGCATTAGTTTTATTCTCTCAAAGATCCGTCCTACCAGGAACTAGAGAAAAGTTTAGTTCAAGAAGAATTAACTTAGAAGGTAACACACCTGCACAGGAAATCAATGCAAGTCAACTCCCTGTATAGCTATATCCATATGTCAACTAGCAAAACCCCTTGTTCCTTCCTATTATTGCTTATACTCTCTCTTCAACAAAATTAGAGATAAGAGCAAAATAGTTTCTGCCGGGTAGTGAGGGGGTGGGGGGGAGACGAAGGGGGCGGGGGAGGGGAAGGGGGGAAAGGGGGAGAAATGACCCAAACATTGTATGCACATATGAATAAAATAAAAATTAAAAAAAAGATCTGTCCTAGGTATGATAAGGAGATGAAAATAAGTGTGTCATCTCTACCTGTTAATTTAACACACTAGCACAGACATGTATGAATAATAGCAGCATGTTAAAAGCTGAATGATATAAGTATGTTACAAACTTAGTGCACAGTCAGGCTTAGCACTTACATCTTAATTTGTGACCTGAGCAATAAACAAATGAGACTTCAGTGACTCTAATGCTTGTGTTAGTGCCAAAGAAAGAGTTATTTCTGGTGACTATAAGATGTGTGGTAAGACTCAAAATTAACTCAGATCATTTCACCAAGGGCTGAAACTAAGAAAAACTTGTAGATAATCAGAAAACATAGTTTCCCATTAGGAGCAGTGGCTTATGCCTATAATCCCAGCTACTTGGAAGGCAGAGATAGCAAGACTCTACCTCAAACAACAAGAGGGGTGCAGTAGAACATGAGCTGTAATCTCAGCTATGCAGCAGGCATAGGTGGGAGGATCACAGTCTGAGGCTGTCTGAGGTAAATAAAGGAAAGATCTATCTGAAAAATAACAAAATCTAAAAGGCCAGAGGGGTGGCTCAAGTGGTAGAGTATTTACCTAGTAAGCATGAGGCCCTGAACTCAAAATCTCAGTATCACCAAAAAAAAAAAAAATTACAGCTTCCTTCTGCACATACATTTGAATTAAGTACACATCTTTTAGCAAGACTTGTGTTGGCATTACTAAATATGGGAATTTTCAGTGGAAAAAAAGTCAGGTGGATAAAAGGACCTAAGGGATAAATCTCATTTGTGAGACATCATTAACAAGAGAGCAACGAAGAGGAAATTCTATAAAACCACAAATTTTGATTCATGTCTGAATCAATTTCTGCTAGTTCATAAACAGTGGCTTCTGTTGAAATTGAAAAATGGAAACAACAAAAGCTGCTTGCTCAGGAATATGGTTTCTTATCTTTTGTGTCCTAGATTAAGAAGAAACAACAAGATGTGCTTGGTTTCTTAGAAGCCAACAAAATAGGATTTGAAGAAAAAGATATTGCAGCCAATGAAGAGAATCGGAAGTGGATGAGAGAAAATGTACCTGAAAACAGTAGACCAGCTACAGGGTATCCCCTGCCACCTCAGATTTTCAATGAAAGCCAGTACCGTGGGGTAAGAAAACACTTTTAAATTCTTGTTGATTGAAATAGACTGCCCCAAATCTATCCTATTCCTTTCACCCTCACTTCCAAATCTGAATATAGCCATTTCTCCTGCATGCAATCATTTGTCCTCTGCATTCATTTTAAGCAACTGGAGTATTTTGCCTTCTACTAGGATCTAAATGTATGAGTCATTCACAAAAGGACCTATGAATGTATAAATACAGACCTTGGACATACAGTTGATTTTACATTTTTCATCTTGATTCCAGCCAGAATAATTGTATTGTTTCTGATGTGTCCATGAAGAAAGCTCTGAAAAGAAGTCAGCTACTTTAATTATTTAGATAAGAATTAGTTTCAAAGAAGGCCATTTTATTTTCTGCTTGAAGCTCATAATACTTGTATTTTGGTATCACTAATGGATTTTCTTAAAAGTTTAAGTTAGTTAATTGAACTAATACAAAGGATTAGGGAAGGGAAACACTGAGTTTGTACTTTATGACAGGAGCTTTCAAGTATGCCATCTCCTTTGACTAGATCACCATTAAGCAAATACTTGCTTAATGATGGTTGTACTTGCTTTCATTCTTAATTCTTCATTCCCTACATATTTAGGTAGCATATATGGCCTATGGACATTCTAGGCACTATGACAAGTAAAACCCACTTTCTTCTCTTGAGCTGGTTGGGAGTAGGAGGTGGGAAAATCATACACACCTGAAACAATTACAGTGTTCATGAAACTACATACATGTATGTTATAGAAAGCACATATATTCGCTATAGGAATTTGAAGTAAAGAAGTGTTTATATTGCTAGGTCTTTGGGTTTATCGTGACTGAGGAACAATGAGGAACTAATCCAAATTTTCTGCCTCTTAGGTTTGTAAAAATTTAAGAAGGACACTTTTTGATAGAAAGCCTTTCAAGTGCCATATTGAAAGCATGTAAAAGATGAATATGACAAAAATAGGGAAGTTTATTGTTCTAAAGTATGTTCTCTGTTAGTGAATTTGTCAGTAATAAGGAAGACAACTGTAGTTTTCATCTTCTGTTATAATCAGGACAAATGTGCAAAAATACTCTTTCAGATAAGGTGAAGGCACCTAGGCTATTCTTTTGGTGACTGAAACTTCAGCATCTGCATATTCAAAATATCTGCAAATCATTGAAGAGGCCTCAAAGTTCATTTAATCCAATTTAAGCCAGTATATAGTATCTTGATCTCTCCTTTTAAAATTTTTAGGTTTTTAAATTGACACATAATTTTGTACATATCAATCGGGTGCTATGTGATGTTTTGATTAATTGTGCAACGTTCAAATCAGGGTAAACCTACCTATCTCCTCAACCATTTATGATTTCTTTGTGGTAAAAATATCCCATATCTTTTCTCCTAGGTTTTTTGGAAATATATAGCACATTATCATTATCTCCTTTTTGAAGCAGAAATTTTGATTATCTGACTTTTTAAAATAAAGATATTTTGGATTATAAGGGTACATTGAGAAGCTATATTTATCTGGTTTACTTCTCCCTTGGAAGCCACACTGCAAGGGAATGGAGAGTGTTAAATAAATAAAATAAATAAGACAAATAATCACTGGGAAATGGAAAGATGGAAATGAAGGAGCAGGAGATACTAAACCATATTTATTAATGGAAAAGGAATCCAGTTTCTATTGATTGCCTGCTTTGTGCTTAGCACTAAGTTTGGACTTTAATAGCAGTAAGAGTTAAGAATTTTCATACTATAAACTCTTAGGAAGAATAGTCATTAACAGAAAACTTATTAGGGCTGGCAGAGTGGTTCAGTTGTTAGAGTGTCTGCTTAGCAAGTGTGACACCCTGAGTTCAAACCCCAGGGCCAAAAAAAAATCACATTGCCTAGAAAATTTACTGTATGTTATCCATTATGCTATATGCTTTATGTGCATTGCAACAATCAGTTAGCATACTAATCTCATGAAGTAGTTTTTGTTATTTATATTTTATAGATAAATAATATGAAGTCTAGAAGACATCAACTGTCTTCCTAAATCACATAAGCACTGCCATAACTAGGATTTAACCTAGATGTGCCTAACTCTGAAGTTCCTACTCTCTTAAAACCACTTGGTTGTTCATTTTCCTATAAGAGTTTGATTTTCTTAGATTCTACAAATGGGTGAGGACATGCAGTATTTTTGTTTCTAATAGTTGTTTCATTTAACTTGATGTCCTCCAGATTCAGTGGTATTCTCAGGACAGGATTTCCTTTTTTTAAGGCTGATATATATTTCATTCTGATATATATTTCATTCTGTATATATTTCATTCTTTATCCATTCACCCACTGAAGGACATTTATGTTGTTTTCATTTCTTGGCTTATTGTGAATAGTGAAGCCATGAACATGGAAGTATGAATGTCTCTTCACCACACTGACTTACTTTCCTTTGGAAATACACCCAAAGGATATGAATCATATGATAGTTTTATTTTAATGTTCTGAAGAACTCCTATGTAATTTTTCATAGTAGCTATATTAATTTATGTTCCTACACAACTATACATGAGTGCTTTAATTTCTCTACATCTTTACATCTTGTTATATTTTGTCTTTTTGCAAAAGAAAAAACCCTCATTCTTACAGGTGTGAGATTCTATCTCATTCTAGTTTTAAGTTGTATTTCATTGCTGATTAGTTATTTTGAGCATTTTTTATAAACCTATTAGCCTTTTTTTGTATATCTTGTTTTGGGGCATGTCTATTTAGGTCTTTTGGTCCACTTTAAATCAGGTTATCTCTTATTTACTTTTTACTTGTATGTATGCAGTGTAGTTTTGCCCACTCCTTTTTATACATTTAACCTTTCACAGTCAGTTTGGTAAAATACACATACACCATACACATACAACATGCACACATTTCTTCAATGGGTAATTTTGTCTCACTTATGTATTAAAATTTTCTACCATATTCTCTAAAATATGAATGCATTACATGTGTCATTTTTAACAGTGTTTGAGCTATCAGTTCATAGAGTTGACTTTTTTGTTTTACTGTTTTCTATGAATTATAAAACATGTATAGATTTCTGTAACCAGTGCCACCATTAAGATATAAAACTATTTCAAAAATTCTCTCATGTTACCCCTTTATAGTTACATGCTCTGCCTAATCCTAACCTTTGGCAAACACTTATCTCTTCCCATCACAATTATTTTGCCTTTTTTATATGTCTGTAAATGGAGTTATAATGGGATTGGTCTTTTTCAGTCCATCCAAGTTGTTACATGTATAAATAGTTTGCTTCTTCATGTTGCTGAAGATATCATTCTAAAGATGTGCCACAGTTCATTTAATCACTATTCATTGATAGACATTTTCATTGTTTCCAAATTTGAGCAATTGTGACTACAGCTGCTTTAAACCTTTGTATTCAAGTTTCTGTTCAACACAAACTTTGTTTTCCAAGGGAAAATACCAAGAAATCTGATTTCTCTCTGATATGGTAATTGTTTTTTAATTTAGAAGAAACTGTCAAAATATTTCCATATTGTCTATTCCATTTTGTATTTTCATGTATGAACATTGTACATACTGAGCATCCTCCCTTTCCAGTATGTTTTATTGTCAGATGTTTTTTGTTTGTTTTTATTTTGTTTTTGTGGTGATAGAGATTGAACCAGTGCCTTGTACATGTTAAACAGGTGCTCTAACACTGACATATACCCTAAGCCTATTGTCAGCATTTTTAACCAGTCTAAAAGATATTGTCTAGCATCTCCTGTCAATTTAAATTTGTTTTATGGTTAGTAATATTGAATATTTACACGTGGTTATGTGTTATCTTTGTATCCTGTTTAAATGTCTACTTAGTTATTTTTCTTTTTTTATTGTTTTATTATTCATATGTGCATACAAGGCTTCGGTCATTTCTCCCCCCTGCCCCCAACCCCTCCCTTACCCCCCACTCTGGCCCCTCCCTCTCCCCCCACCCCCTCAATACCCACCAGAAACTATTTTGCCCTTATTTCTAATTTTGTTGTAGAGAGAGTATAAGCAATAATAGGAAGGAACAAGG